AGCCTCCCCTCCCCGCCCGGCCCTCCTCCAGCCTGCACCTCCTCCAGCCTCCCCTCCCCGCCCGGCCCTCCTCCAGCCTGCACCTCCTCCAGCCTGCACCTCCTCCTGTGGTGCTCTCCAGCTTCCCCTCCCCGCCGGGTTCTCCTCTGGCCTCCCTCCACCTGCCGGTGGGTGGGTCTTGGCAGGCCACGCCCGTGCGCCCTCTCACCTCTTGCCCCCCTCGCTGTGTGGGGAGCCGCGGGCTGGGGTGCTGTGCTCAGGGGGCGGGAGGTAGAGGTCGCTGGGCGGGCGGCGAAGGTCCAGCACGGGGCAGCTGGCTCCGGGGAAGGAGTAGAGGGGGGCGGGGAGAGGGGTGCTGAGCTGCTGGGGGTGGTGACGGGTGTAGTCCTGTGTGATCACCTCCTGTGGGTCAAGGGGGCTGGTCAGGGAGGGGGAGAACTGTTCCTTCCCCACCCACAGGCAAGGGCACGGGGGGGGGGGAAGAGGGGGTGTCTGCCCTGTGCCTGCAGGGCAGACCTACTGGGAGCCACCCTCCCGGGCACCCAGGGAAGAAGGGTAGTTACACTGATGTGCTGGGCCAGGGTGACCACCCGCTGGTGACCTTTGACCCCTGGGGTGGCCTGGAGCAGCGGGCTGGAGGACGCGTGGCTCTCGGGCAGTGGCCGCAGGTGGGGCAGGTGGAGGGCCTCCCCGCCGAGCTTCCCGGGACCTGCGGACAGGGCAGGCCATCAGGGCTCCGCACCGTCTCTTCTGGACCTCAGTGCACCCACCCCCGGCGCAGGCCCCCCCGGCTGCCTGTGCCACAGCTCCTGCCCACGCAGCATGGCCCCCGGCTGCCGCAGCACCTGCCCACGCAGCGTGGCCCCCTCCCGGCTGCCTGTGCCGCAGCACCTGCCCACACAGCGTGGCCCCCCTGGCTGCCACAGCACCTGCCCACGCAGCGTGGCCCCCGGCTGCCGCAGCACCTGCCCACGCAGCGTGGCCCCCTCCCGGCTGCCTGTGCCACAGCACCTGCCCACACAGCGTGGCCCCCCCGGCTGCCTGTGCCACAGCTCCTGCCCACACAGCGTGGCCCCCCTGGCTGCCGCAGCACCTGCCCACGCAGCGTGGCCCCCCTGGCTGCCTGTGCCGCAGCTCCTGCCCACACAGCGTGGCCCCCCTGGCTGCCACAGCACCTGCCCACGCAGCGTGGCCCCCCGGCTGCCGCAGCACCTGCCCACGCAGCATGGCCCCCCGGCTGCCGCAGCACCTGCCCACGCAGCGTGGCCCCCCCAGCTGCCTGTGCCGCAGCACCTGCCCACACG